CTATCAGTTGTCTTTCCATCTCTGACACTAGCTAAAACCATTAATACAGAAAGTATATATCCAAATTAAAATGGATACAATATAATATCCCTTTCAGCTTTCTTCTTTTTCACCTGGGTTGTTACAGTCTTGTGTTGCATTAGTTTAACTGATGTAATAGAAACTTTGTGACCTTCAAAAAGCACATTTTTGTGGTAGGAACAAAGGTAAATTTTGATTCCTTGATACTTATTCAGGCAGTGGGGTTAGTATTAGAGAAAAATTGTTGGCCTATGTCCTTTTAATTGAAACTGGATGTGTGTTTCCATGTGCTATAGAAAGCCATAGATCATTAATTTGTTTAATCTAGTTCTATTATCATAGATAATGATTTTTTTTTCTCAGAATCTGGCAATGGTTGTTGGTACATTTTAAGAGTCTATCCTTCCATTTATCTCTTTATATTCTATGACACATATGCCATTATTGTTATTTTGATAAGTTATTATTAAAACCTTATTTCCCAACTGTTCTTATCATACTAGTTTATGCTGTCAATTTTCTAGGGAAGGTTTAAAAACTAAATTTTTAAATCCAGAAGTTCACTGATGATACCAAATAAAGACTGTTCACATGATGCTGGAAGCTCATGTTTCTGAAATATAATATTGTTTTCCTTGAACCAATTTTGTGCTCTTTATTTAGATAAAAATGAGATAATGAATTATAGAACAATAGTGTTAGGCATAACATTCTAGGAAAAAAATCTATAACTGATTGTAGGAAACTTAAATATGTATATATTAAATAAACATAAACTAATAATGAAATATGTATATAAGTATATATATTCACACAAACATATTTTTACACAATAAATGTCTCAATTATCAATTACCATAAAAAAGATTTTTCTAAAAACATATTTGCTATAAAAAGATTATTGATTTTAAAAGATCCATAATTTTGGTGTCACACATATTGGCTGAATATGTTCTTTATATATTTATCATTTATTTAAGTTGTGAGACTTTTTTCTAACAAATGATCGAAGAGATAAAGAAAAGAGAGTTGGGAAGATTACAGGAATCAAATAATCTGAAAATATATGCATAACTTTTCCAAGACACAAAATTACAGGTAAAGAAATGGTTTTGCTTCAACTCTGCAAAACTGAGACATGTCGTATTAAAATATTTAAAAAAAAAACTCAGGGATGTAATGTCTTATGATTCTTTATCAAAGCTTTTCTTGAAGATCACTACTTTAATATATTTGAAAATTCATTGTTGATTACAAACAGCAAAATGATAAGACAGCAAAATTAATCACACACACTTGCTTTATATGTACCTTTCATCTGAGAAAATTTGCCTAAAAATAGGAATGAAATACCTTATCTGAATTAAAAACATACAAATGTGCATTTACAAGGAAAAGAATATGAAAGAATACAATTTAATTTTAGATGTGCAGTTTATATGCTAAACAATCTACTTAATTACAAAAACGAACATTTTTTCTTGATTCATAAATAACCAAAAAATTTCTTTTAAATGCAATTGAACATAATTAAGGGTACAAGGGAATAATAATAAAACAATTTTCGGTTTTTAAAGTTAACAAGATTGCAGTGAATTCCCTGATTATAAAATCAAAGTTAATCCAAATTTAAAATATTGTACTTCATCATACATCTGATAGCATTTATTTATCAACAGAAACATGATTAAAATGCAAAGTATTTAAGGCTGATAGAGATAATTAAGCATAGAAATTTTGGTAGTCAGCTTGTTGCTATTGAGTGAATAAAGACTATGAGGAATTTTTAATAAACCTCATGGGATAAGAGCTTGCTAACTTTAAAATCAAAAGCAGCAGAAAACCTTTTAAAATGTGCACTTTTATCCAGAGCCAAGGAATGTACAGGTATTAAATTAGCCACAAGAGAGCTGTACTAATGTTCCCTAAATGTGAAACAAATATGTGAAGAGTTATGAGAAAAATAAAGGTATTTAATGAAGGGGATGTAAAGTTCATATAAACACTCTATAAATTATACCAATCACTACTGAAGTTCATACTTAATCACATTTGATGCAAATGCTTGTGAATATTAATCATATCACTGAAGGTTTTTTCATTTTTATAGGAAGCAAAAACATGCCCCATTCTTTCAGAAAAGATATTTTCTCCTAGGTAAATTTTTCCATTTATTTATTACCTTGTTTATGCAACAGAATAGAAAGTCAATCTCAAATGGAATACTGGATTCAAAATGGGGGTATCTATATTAGCATTAATCTATTAACCAGTTAGTTTAATACATATCTGTCAACTATTTTATGTGCAAGACACAGATGTACACAAAATATATCATATCATGTAAGTTACATTGCAGCTAAGAGAAACAAGCATATTATACACTAAATAAAAATTATATTAAAAGTTGTCAAAAACAATGTGAAGAATATACAGAGTAGAAGAAAAGTAAAAGAAACTATAATGTGGTAAACTATCTTTTGAAAGATTTTTTTAAGAGACTTCAAAAAAGTAGAATATTATGAAGAAACAGGGAAACAAGAAGGGGATACCTTTGATGAACTAAGTAAACTGATCAAGGTCAGAGTGTCTAAAGGCAAGTGCTGTTTTTACTGAGGCTGGCTTTGAACTTTCAATCCTTCTCGCTCAGCCTCCAGAACCACTGGAATTACATTTTTTTTTTTTTTTGCCACCATGCCTGGCATGAAGGCAAGTTTTAAAACACATAAAGGAAGCTTCAGGTTAATACATATAGAGTAATATCACTGTGTCATAGTTGATTCTGGTTGCTATTACAACTTATCATAGAATGAACAGTTTAAATAGCAAACATTTATTTGTGACAGCTCCAGAGAATGAGGAGTCAAGGTCAAGGTGTCCGCAGATCTGGGGCATGATGAGGACTCTCTTGGTTTGCATTTTGCAGTTTTCTTATAGCGCCCTTACCCAGCTGACAGTCACAAAAGAATTCCGTCTCCTTGATGTCTTTGTAGAGGCACTAATCTCATTATGAGGGTTGCATCTTTAAGGCCTGATATAAATCTAATCACTTCCTGAAATTCCTACCTTCTAATAATATTATCTCGGGTGTTAGGATCTCAACTTATGGACCTTAATGTGATACAAACATTCAGTCCATATTTCCACTACAGCCCCTCCCCAATCCATGACTTCCACATGTATAGTATGTACATTTTATCCCCAAAGTCCCAAGTATCTTAAGACATTTCATTAGTAAATCTGTAGTCAAGTCACAAAACTCATCTATTATGATATAAATCAGATATGAGTGAGATTAAAGAATGATATATTCAAAAGTAAAATTTCTCTTTAACTGTGAACCTGAAAAATCAAGCAAGTTATGTCCTTTCTCACTACAGTGATGGAGAAAGCACAAGTCAGACCATCTCAGTGCAAAAGGAAGAAATAGGGAAGAAGGAATGGATAGAAAGCAGAACAATCAAGAAAAAGAAGCCAAAGACAGGTGTCAGATTTCCAGATTCAGCATGATTTTGCAGGGGATTCTTGCAAATAAATAATGTGTGGGTTTTCCCACTTTTGCATCTAATAAGTACAGGCTAAGGAAATCCATGGGAGATGCTTACAAAGTTGTAGCACTTCAGTCTCCTTTTGCATAAGGGTAAAGTGGCTCCAGTCACCAGAGGACATGGTTCAAAGACAGTTGCAGGTAAAGGCTATGAGAAACTAAAGAATTCCAAAATTGTAGTATATGTGTGGCCATATTAAAGGATCAAAGGGATTTATAGTACAGACTCTGCTTTCACATCAAAACACTTCTTTGTATGCTGTGCTCATTCCTTTCTGAACTAGAACAACAGACTCCAATTGATCTCTCCCTTAACCAAATCCCTTTCCTACTTTTTAGGCTATTTTCTATTTAAACGCCAGATTGATCTTTTCTAAATATATTATGTAAAAATCTTTGAACAGCCTTTCATTTCACTGGAAATGAATGTGAATTTCTTCCTCTAGTTTTGCAAGGCCTATGGGACCTTGACCCCTGCCTGAATCTCTGGATCCAGTTAATACAGATAGACATTTTGTTCAAAGGCCTACAGTCTGCATGAAGGGTGCATCTAAGTTAAAATATGCCACAGATCATTTAGAGTGATATTCAATGTCTCCTGCAAATGTGGTTATCAAGGTCAATGGAAAAAATAATTTCTTCCCATGGGAAGAAATCAAGGTAACCAGTGTAATCAGCTAAGGAATTTGTTGTTTTATATAAGTGAAGCATCAGCTTCCTTGAAATTCTCTTGCTGCTAATTTTTCATTTCACCATGGCCAATCTACCCACTACTGGGTAGGTTCTGCAGTAGTGGTGATTAGATATTATTTTTCCTCCCACAAGATATTTTCTAAGTACTAGTTGTTAATTTGGATATTTATTAAAGAATTTTAACTTGATTGTGGGTAAATTTACCAGTTACCCCATAGCTCTCAAGATTATGTTTAGCTATAACAGCCCTGATGAATGACAGTTATTATCAACTGATATTTCAGATTCAGAAAATGATGAGGTTTAGGATTTTTTTTACTGGGGAGTGTTTTTGCAATCATGTATATGTTTTATTATAAATCATACCTTTTTTAAAAGTAATAGATTTGGGAATTAAGTGACATAGGTATGATGGACAGAGCTGATAGTTTTGCACTGTAGCAAACATCTATAACAATACTTGCTAGTCTCCATTCTCTTTTCTGCTATACTGGGCTCATATCTCTGAATTCATTTAGATTGTATTTAGTTTACTTTAGCTATCCTTATGTATATATTAGAAGATATCAATATCCCCCTAATTATCTATGTGTTATATGAATTTTTAATGGTGGTTCACTGCTTTATAATAGAAAAATTATATATAAACTTAAATAGCAGTCAGAATAGATTTTTAGTCTACAGGTTGTGTGAAAGTGTGACACAACTTAGTAAAACCATTTTCTCTCCTCCTCTTCAGGAGATACAGACAATACATTGAATTTGACATCCTTCTGAAGTAGCAGATAATGAGGACTTACCATTGTCTACCATTATTCATCTGGACCTACATCTTGCACACAGTTGACACCATCCCATTACAAGAAAACGGTAGCAGTTACTTACCCAGCCAGAGGATAGTGAGCTTGACAAAAGATGATGGTAAAATGCTTCGTCGCACCAAGCGTGGCTGGATGTGGAATCAATTCTTCTTGTTGGAAGAGTACACAGGTACAGACACACAATATGTAGGCAAGGTAAGGACTTTGATATGAGAATTCCAAAACTTGAAAGTGATAGCTGTTTATTTATTATTTGTACCAATTTTCCCCACAACTAATAATTATTCAGAAAAAAATTGCTTAAATATGATGTTTGAAAAGCATGCTCTTGCAGATTATTTCAGAAAGGTAGTATGTGGAATGTGATGTATTCACATGCCCATTTTATATCACTATCTGAAAAAAGAATCAAAATAATATAGCTCATGTGTGGCCTTGGTTCAGTGTTAATGATGACATATGAATTGATTCTATATGTATTCATTCTAAAGAACACTTTCCTTGAAATGTTATTTGAAATTATGATAACTGTCTGCTATATAAGAAAAAAAACAAATCACAATTTTAGTATACCATAACATTATTAAAATATAGTGGTATCTATAAATGACTAGTTCATCATAAGAATAGCATGTTCTGTGTGAGAAGTAAATTATTTCTAGATGCTTCCATATCTTAATATCAGACTGAACTACTTCCTGACTATAATCCAGACTAAAAGTTTAAAGGCAGAAGGAAGAAGAAAAGACAAAAGAAGGCGAAAGAAGACACTATCTTTAGGGAAGTATACCTTTATGTTAATAGCAGCAACATGAATGGTTTCTCATCAGCAACCAATAACAAATGGTAATTGAAAATGTATAACTCACTTCCTCATGTCTTCCTTTTGTGTTTAAAAAGATCCTTCTCTTTATTTCATGCATTACCTATTTTGTCAATTCATTCTTATTTATTTTTTCTTTAGTGGCACAACCTATCTGTCATTTCTTACCAATCTTATTAATTCTATTCTATACTCAGGACAATTCATTTTTTCACCCTGATTATATTTGATTTATACCCAGTGCTGAGGTGTTACCCAATTATGAGAATAAGCATGTAAGTAAACATAAATACTAACATTATACACAGACCATATATTTATTTTTCTTGATTCTTGAACAAAAATCCTAGATGGAATTCTAATAATTGGACTATCGACTCACTGACACCAGGTGAATACATTAGAATAATCCCAAAATAAAAAAAAATAAAATAAAAGAGTACCTGATAGCACAAAGTTATAGCTTTCTATATCAACCCAGAAGTGCATTTATTCTGTGAAATTGCTTAAATATTGGTCTACTTCTTTATTTGTGTGTGGACAATATGCTTTTCAAATGCAGCCTCCCTTTCCAGAAGCCCATTTTTCCACTTCTTTTGATATATCTCCTCTGGTTCCATAGGTCATCTCACTTGACCCTTCAGTTCACTGGCTGCTCTTTTCTCTGTTATTTCTCCTCGGGTTAGTCATATGGCATCCTCCAGCATCCCTCATTTAACATCACTCTTCACACCATAGTTATTAACTAACGTGAAGACGTTTCCAGTTCAACAAGCAGACATTTGTGTCTAAGGACTTGAAATTGCCTCATGATTCCTTTTCTAAGGCAGGGTATAAAGGACACATTCAGATCACAGGACCTTACTACAGAAATAGTTTCATCCTTGGAGACTCACAGATACAGAAAAATAGCCACTGATAAAAAGAAATACTCATAATCTCAAGACTGTTAAGGCACTACTACAAGCATTTGATTTTAGTTGAAAACAAAAATGCTTCCTTCGGAACAATGAGTTGATTAATTTGTATGTTGACTGCATTGCTACATGAACAACTTAAAATACACAATATGTTTTAAATCTTTAGGTACTACTTTCCTTATTTTTAATAAATTATATAATCTCTTACAAATGATTACTAAAAGTAGGTGACCAATCTGTTTTGTTACTTTTCATAAAATGTTTTATCATTTGTTTTAGCCAAGTGACATTTTTTAAACCCATGAACAAATTTAAGATGTTTAATTTGTTTGTCTTTTTAACCTCAACAAACAGATAATAAGTCAAAAATAGAAAACTCATTATGATTATGAGAATTTTCATTTAATGAGAATAATTAAGCCAAACATATATGTTCACTTTTTAATTTTTTCCATGTAAAATCTACATATATGGAAAAAGTCTTCAACAAAATAAGACACCCAATTCTTTCTCAGTTTTGGTGTAGAACCAGATTTTACATCTGCCCTTACTACATATGTAGTTCACTGTAGAAGTGGGATACTAACCACTTTGGAGCCTTTGTTATTAGGAGCTTATTCACGCTAGCCTACCCTGTTCTCATTACTTTTAACTTCATTAGTTACATGCCTATACAGAAGCTAACAGAGCCCTTGACCCAGAACATAGAGAAACACAAGAATTCTAGTAAAGACTGAACCTCTCGAACACCACAAAGACAGTGTCTGTGACCATATTGCTGCTGGTTGTCCTGGTAAACTAAACTTTTATCCTTCAGAATCTACTGCACTGGAGGCATTACGCCTTGTGAAGTTACACCTGCCAAATTCACCACGCACCAGGACTGGAAAGAGACAGGAAGTTTCTAATGAAAAAAATTATATTTCTTATATTGTATTTCTTATAATTTTATAGTTTGGTTTCAGTTTTTGTACATACTACGTAACACAGAAAATTAAAAACAAAACATTTATTTACAGGTGATATAAAATTAAGTAAAGTTGGAATAACAAATAATCTGAATAGAAACTAAGGTTTCATCATAAATATAAAAGAAGCAATTAAAGAATGAACAAAATAACAGCAGCAAATTTAATCTTTACATATATGAACACCCACAAATATGCAACTTACAAGATTTGATCCTGATTGTGGCATTTGAAACGGTATAGAATTTATGTCATTTAGTTTTCTAACCCTCAGATTTTTGTTATATTAAATCAATTGCCATTAAAATTTCTTTTATTCTAAGATTCTGCTATTTTCTAGGCTTTTGTAAGAATCTGCTGATGTGGGCAGGAGGATTCAGTAAAAATGTTCATGTAAACAAATTTAAGAAGGTAGGATTGAAAGCAGAGGAAAAATGCCTAATCTAATGTGTCAGAGATTTACTAATACTCTTTTATGTAACAAGATAATCCTTTATTTCTTACTCAAAATAATTTCAAAGTCACAATTGCCATCTAGTTCCTCTTCTATCTGAACAGAGACATTTCATTGAAATTTTTATGCAGAATAATAATATTGAACAAGAGAGAAATGAATAAAATTTAGCAAGAAGTATGGCAAGGGCTTTTACTCTTTTGTTGAAGAATCTTTACATGTACTTTTGGTGTGTATGTGTGTGTGCACACGCATGCAAGTGTGCATGTGTGCTTGGGTTAAAATCCAGGGCCTAGCATAAGCTAAGTAAGTGCTCTACATCTGAACTTCATGCCCAGTCCACATGAGATTATTTGTTACATTTGAACAAGATCCTAAAGAACTTTTGCTTATTATGGATCAACAATCAAGTTATATGTCCAGTATTAAGAATTGGACAGAATTTCACTCTGATTTAAATATAGGCTTGCTAAATCACATTTATTGTATGAAGAGATGCTAGCTTTCCAGACATAACTGATATAGCACTAAATCTTGAAGGAAAATGTTAATATTCTTTAAATTTTTATGAATATTAATTTAATTGACTATTATATTTTAATTTGAACATCTGTATTTAGAACTAGTTTTGTTCAGGACAGGGAGTGTGGTGGTCAATGGCCTGCCTACAGTAGCCAGCATAAGAATATAATAGGATCTGTGTTACAGAGTGAGTTCTGAAGTCCTCATAGATTTACTTCAGAAACTTCCACTATTCCATAACTGAAATAATCATGACTATAATCAGAAAATATAAAAGGGGTGTTTATCATTGATCAAGTGCTGTATATTTGGTTATAATAGATTTTGTTGTCATTGAAAACAATGTGAAACACAGGTAACAAATATGAAATGGGAGAAAGGATACAGTCAGTCTTGTTTGTATTTGATTGGGTATCAAAATTCACATGATTCTTTCATGCTCTCTCATGAGGATACATGCACTAAATACTAATATATCCCTAAAGCATATATAATATATTGGAATGAATGGGAATTTTTTCTTAGGCTTTTAAGATACGGCACTTTGATGTGTATAAGTATCAGCCAGAGGAGAAATCAAAGACTGAAATAAAGTCTCAAATTTACTAAGGGAAATCAGATGATTTTGATGGTATATTATAGTACTTTTTAGAATCTAAATAAAATATTTTTATGAAGGTTTTAGAATGTCATTATTTATGGTGCAGGACATGTAGCAGCAACTTTTTATTTGTGAATGTGTCATATTTCAAAATTCTCTTTATATGTTGATTGCTTAAAACTCAAAACACATGACAAAAATACCAAACATTATAGCCCTTTATAACCAGACTCCCAAGATAGTCTATAAAAGCTGGGTCTGGTGGTGCAGCCTGTAATACTAGCAGCTCCAGAGGTTGAGGCAGGAGGATTATGAGTTCAATGTCAGCCTCAGCAAAAGCAAGATGCTAAACAACTCAGTGAGACCTTCTTCGTAAATAAATACAAAATAGGCCTGGGGATGTGGCTCAGTGGTCATGTGCCCCTGAGTTCAATTCCCAATTCCTCAGAACCAAAAAAAAAAAAAAAAAGATAGTCTACAAAGATTTGTTTCACACTGAGTTCTATTAAAAAAAAATCTGCGTGTAAAAGGCAAAAGACTTATATGATCTGAAGAGAAACCATATTCAGAGATAGAATAAATTATGGTACAATGGTGTAGGAATTGTAATGCAAAAATAAAAAAGACCAGCATAAGTAAAGAATTTACCATTACTTCTGGCATATTAATTGAATAAATAATATGCATTCATTTAAAAAAAATCCGCAATTAAAGTTGAACCAGTCTTCTAATATTTACTACCAATAGTCTTATTGCCAGTACTGCATTACCATTTTACCAGACCAACCACTGCATTTCATCACACTAAACTAATATTTTAATTTTAAATTCTCAAAAACATATTACCCACTTTTTCTTTCTTTTTTTTTAAAAAATGACATAATAAGTGTCCTAATTTATGGTGTAT